CGTCCCACATTAGACAGTTTAGCATTTACCCCTGACTGTATTTGAATTACGATTTAGCGTTTACCCCTGGCCGTCCCACATCCAACAGTTTAACGTTTACCCTTGGCTGTCTTGAAATTACGGTTTAGCGTTTACCCCTGGTCGTTCTTTCCTCTCTCATCTATCATTTGATTAAACTAGAATATCGAACAAATTCTACACCTTTGTCCACCTTTTAGTTTTATAAGGATGAACAAAGGGGGGCAAACTGTAGACCCCTAAATTTGTCTGGCATTCAATTTCATTATTTCTTTTTATTTGTATTTGTATTTGTATTTGTATTTTAATTTTGAATATTTCTCTCTCTAGAACTTTTATTTTTCTTTATGACAAATATTTTCCTTTTTTGATGTTTTATAAAAAAAAAATAATATAAAAAATAAAAATATTTTTGATTCCCTCACTTTCATAAAAAATCTTTTGGGGAAAATAAAATAAAAATCTTTTTTTTAAAAAAAAACCTTTTTATTTTATTTAACCAAAGTAGTAAAAAACTCGAGGTTTAATAAGTCGTATTTTTTTTAAATGAAAATTTTCTTATTAGGAAAGCTTTTTTATTTGATTTAACAAAATTGATAAAAAAAAATATGAGGTTTTAATTAGTGATATTTCTTTCCTTGTTTTGCTAAGATTTGGAGGATTTTAAAAATAAAATGTATCTTTATTTGATTTGGTTTGATTTTGTTTCCCTTAATCAATTTGGGTCTAATGGTTATAAATTGGGGGGAAAATCGATTATGGGGGACAATTTTAGCCATCTGACGCCCCATAGCATCCTAGTCACCCTTTCTTTCTTTTAAAAATGTGTATTCATCCTCAAAGCAAAACGGTGTGTGCTTCCTTTGGTGGTTAAGAATTTCTTCTACAATAGATCTGTTACCTTCTCTTGCATACTACATATTCGTCGAGTAGAAGTATAAAACACGTTCGTGCAAACTTGGATTCACAATAATACCACTGACTTGACGAGGTAAGGATATTGGAATTGCAAAAAAAAWTTTTTTTTTAAACATGCATGTACTGTCCTATTGTTATGCCAAATGAATATTTAGTTTAAATCATGTGGCAAAATTGCAAGCATGTTTTGTTAAATTTCTATGAATTTTCATGCGGTTAGCAATTGTTGGGAGTTATTCTGACCTTCCTAATTTGATTGAGAGTTTTGGACCTTTTGGTGGGATTTAAGTTTATAACATGAAATTTTTTTTGTCATGGAGTGCTCTGTTAGTTTTAAATCATGAATATGTATACTAGTTTTGTTTTTTTTTTTTTCCTTTTCTTTTCCTTCCAGATTCATTAGTCCCTGCCTATTCTACATTGATTTCTTTGATTTATTATTCTTAGAATGTTTGATATTTAGTATTACTTCTAAATGGTAGCATGGTATTTGGTTTAGTCCAATATTTTATAGTTATTAGTCTCATATTGATCACATTTTGTATTTGTTCAATTGTGTTCTCATGAAGATTGTGTAGATTATTCGGGGAACAAATTTGTTTGGAATGATTTTTTCTTTTTATTTTTATTCTTTTTACAAAAAATAGTACACATTTATTTTTTTCTAAAGGAAAATTTTTCCGACGATGGAACCTCGAAATATTCGGAAGGCCGATATTCTTGGACTCTTAAGGGTAAAGAACAATATCTCGGGAGGCCGAGATTTGATTTTTAATATATTTTCCCTAAAAAAAAGTGTTTCGTTTAAATAAATATTTTTTATCCATGTATTTTCTTGGTCTAAAAATAATTTACTAAATGCAAAATTGTTTTCATTTTTCTAGATTAAATAAACATCTTTTCTTTAAAAAAATAAAATAAAAATGTTTTCATTTTCGTGTAAATTTTTTTTTTCTAAAAAACACATCAAAAAAACGTTTTACAAAGGCACTTCCTCCTTGGGAGTTGACATTTTAGTATTCATCATATTTCTAAAATAAAACAAAATCAAATTTTTTTCCTAAATCTTTTTTTTCTAGAAAAACTCC